TTTCCCCACAACAGCCCCAATTCCACCCAGGTGAATAGATTCAGAATCAAAGCAGTCTTTGTCCTATTGCAGACAACGAGAGCATTTGAGATGTCCAACATATTAAAGCAATTTTATAATTCAACAATTTTTTGTTTTGTTTGTTTGTTTGTTTGTTTGTTTTTTACAAGAAGAAAACAACCCAAGATGATGCTAGGGGTGCTGATAGGAGCAGACACCACTAGCAGTCTCGGGAGGGCTCCATCTATTGGTGGGGACACTGGGGAGCAACACCTGCTGGAAAGCGGGTCCAGCGTCCCAGATCATTTGTAATCGAATGTTTGAACCGTCGTAAATGCGCAGGCACGCGGTGATGGGCAGCATTGATTGCCATCGAGCGAGGGGATTGACTGCCCATCAAACCCTAGGACCCTTACCCTGCCGCCATAATCAACTACCATACTGATACAGTAAGAAGGGGAAAGATCCGGACAAGGTTTGGTTTCTACTTGTGCAATTTTCTACCCAGTGTTGCCAGCACAGGTGTCTCCCCTATAACAGGAATTAACAAAACCCACTCAAGAGGGGAAACACCAATTCAAATAGAGAAAACGAAATTACAGGAGGATGAAAGAGCAGCAAAAGTCAGATTAGACACTTACTCTTCCGCCCTCTCCACGTGGCCGGGACCAAGCGACATGCCCTAGGAACAACCAACAAACCCTAGTGACATATGCAACAGCACCTCTCCCCGGCCCGCCACATGGCAGATACTTGTGTTCATTATGATTGGTGTGCCCATCAAAATTCGTAATGGGCAAACGTCGATCGAAACAAAACAGGCGAAGATGTGACAATATTACCTGTCGACAAAAACCAGCTGGAGGTCCTATCCCTACCCCACTCCTTCATGCCACCACAGTGCGCCTTTCCGCACACCCCATTCAATAAGCGGCGGCCAGAACAGAGAAGAAAATGGGGCAAGAGGAGAAATGAGTCGTCGACCATCCCCCGGTGCACTCACTGCGTTATTGTTGATGTCGGTTTCGCCTGTCGCCCTGTTGATGATTCGGTCGTTGCTGTTATCGTTGTAATTGCTGTTATTATTGTCGTTGCCGCCATCAGTATTGTTGTTGTTGTTGTAGCTGATGGTACCGCCGATCTCGCCAGTGTCGAAATCACCGTCACCAAAATTGCCGTCCTCTGTGTCGCCGTTGTTGTTGTTGTTGACGTTGTTGCTGTTGTTGTTGTCATCGCTGTTGTTGTTGTTGTTGCTATTGTTGTTGTTGTTGCCGCTTTCGTCAACACACGACCATGAAATGACACCGACAACATCGCTGGCGGTGTCCTAAGGGTACCCCTTTCATTGTTCTTGCACCTCCTCTTTTACTGTGCCTCTTACGCACAAGGCTGCCCACATTGATTGTGGTAGAGAGAGAGAGAGAGAGAGAGAGAGAGAGAGAGAGAGAGAGAGAGAGAGAGAGAGAGAGAGAGAGAGAGAGAGAGAGAGAGAGAGAGA